AACGTAATCACAAGGCCATAACAGAGTTCTCACACGAGGAAGAAATTAAATTTTCATTTTCTCCCGCTTACGCCCCAAACTTTGGTGGGATCTGGGAGGCCGGGGTGAAATCAGCTAAGTTTCACATTAGACGCGTAATGGGTAACACGCATTTAACGCTTGAGGAAATATCCACACTGTTTGCACAGGTAGAAGCCTTGTTAAATAGCCGTCCACTTTACCCTATGTCCTCGTCTCCCAATGATCTCCTTTTTCTCACTCCTGGACACTTCCTAATCGGGCGGCCTCTAACTGCGCTACCTTCGGCAAGCCTAGAAGATTGCAAGTCCACTCAGCTGAAGCGTTATGAACGGCTGGAGCAAATCCGACAGCACTTCTGGAGAAGATGGCAGAAGGAGTATTTGTCTGAACTTCAACAAAGAACAAAGTGGCGCACCAACGACACTACATTGAAGGTTGGTGACCTAGTTCTGCTGCAGGAGGAAAACCTACCACCATTATGTTGGCGCTCTGGTCGAATTACGAAACTTTTTCCTGGTCCTGATGGAGTGGCTCGCGTTGCAGACGTCCAAACCACCCATGGCACCTACCGAAGGACTTTCACACGGCTCTGCCCTCTACCAGCGACGGAGCACCTTCAAGAAAGTTAAAGGTCGGAGACCTTTAACGGGGGGGATGATGTTAACGCGTGACAGTCATTCACAACGGAAACGGTTATGACGGTAGTTGGAAATATGTGATTTTTTAAGAAAAGAAACATTACTACCTACCATGTACACTTATTATTCAAAATTCATTACGAACGACACGAATTGTGAACATTACTATAATAAAACGAATATTTACATTAAAATCAATTATCTTCGCTATTCATCATCGTTTTATTGAGCGTCAAAGCTCCAGTGTCTTGAGAATAGACACCATATGCACGAATTTATAGAATAAGTGAGACAATAAATAAAGATTTGTCAATAAAATCATGTCAGCTTTGAATATTATTATGAATTAAAGTAATTATATTATATTATAAAAATAGTAAATATTTGTATAAAATCAAAATATTATTATACTTTTATTGAACAGTGCCAAGTAAACGACTGACCGTAAAATGTTTTTCTTAAAAGTTATTTCAAAACAATTGATAAGTACTTAGTTACGAGTATTTAGTTATTCGTTCTCTTTTTTTTTAAAGGTCTACTAGCAACCTAAATTACTAGTATTCCCATTAACCCCTCCCGCTAAACTAAATTGCTTGTGAAAGAAGTGGGTTTACGTCGTTATTTTACTGGTCAGGATTCGAACCCACGACCTCTTGATCGCAAGTTCAACGTAATAATCTTTGAAAAGAAACTATATAATATAATATTTAAATTCTTGTCATTAAGTCATATTGTGCATGATTTAAATAATTGAGAATTTTTGACGGTTAATTTAATTTCTACAGGAAGTGATTGATTCAGAAAAAACTAACGACTATTTACCCAGTTATTAGTAAACTTTACAATAATCTGTTGTAATTTAAAACCACATCATATTTTATTGTTAGTGTACGAGCAAACCCGTACATTTCGATTATTTTATGCTGACATCGACGCGCAGCAGCAGTCGGCAGTGATGTTATCCTGCGTAGTTTGCTGCCTTAGTCGCCTCTTACGACACCCACGGAATGAATAGGGGTGGTGACAGTCTGTATTCTTAATCCGTCAGGATGAAGAAGAAAGAAGAATTAAGAATACAGAGCGTCACCACCCATATTCATCCCGTGGGTGTCGTAAGAGCCAACTAAGGCAGCAAACTACGCGGGACAACAGCAACAGCACTGCAAAGAGAAGGAAAACTTAAAAACAAACCCTATACCAAACCGTCTGGCCAGCGTGGTATAGTAGGCCAAAACCTCCTTTCTGAGGAGAGGACTGTTTAAAATCAAAGTAACATAGTATTATAATTATGTAGATCATAAGATAAAGATTGTGTCCGATAGATGGCGTTGTATTAAACGGCTACATCGCGCTATGGTTTGTTACCCGCGATATGCATATAAGCAGATGTTGAAATTTTGTATCCGAGAATTACAGCTCCTAGATCAGAACATAGTTGTGGTTTCATTTGTTCCCAACACTTCTAGTAGTTCTAAGTTCAACAGGTCAATAAACAAGCCTAACTAAGTCCAGCAGTTGACCATTAAGGGCTGTTAATAATAATGATGATGACACCTACTTACATACGGAAGTCACATTTTTTTCTTTAACAAGTCTTTTAACCATCTAATAGATACAAAAACCATAGACAATAACTCGCAGTGATAGAATCGCATTCATTTTTTGTCTCCATTACCTTGGAATCAAACGCGGAGGTTCTATCGCGGAAATAAAACCACTATCCTATATAGTAAACAATACATAGCGATTAGTAAGGCAGCCCACTACTCGTACCACAGCCGTGTTGTGTTTAATTATTAAGTATATAGAAAAGTAGGTAACCACTACATTCCATAGCATAGATTTTATCTTATAACGAGCTTTTGCGTCCGTGTTGTGACAGATTAAGAATACGGAGTGACACTATCCCTATTCATCCCGTGGGTGTCGTAAGAGACGACTAAGGGAGCAAACTATGTGGAACAACAGCACTGTAAAGAGACGGAAAATTTGAAATAAAACCTATACCAACCCGTCTGGCCAGCGTGGTAGGTATAGTAGGCCAAAACCTTCTTTCTAAGGAGAGGCCTATGTCCAGCAGTGGACCATTAAGGGCTGTTAATGATGATGATAATGACACCTACTTACATACGGAAGTCACAACAATACGAAGTGACACTACTCCTATCCATCCCGTGGGTGTCGTAAGAGCCGACTAAGGGAGCAAACTACGGTCAACAGCACTGCAAAGACAAGGAAATTTGAAACAAATCCTTTACATGTATAGGCCTGTTGGTTTATTGGTTGGTGGCCCTGACTGCTAAGCCGGAGGTCGTGTGTTCGATTCCCACCCAGGACAAATATTGTGTGATGAGCAGGGTCATCTGTTCTGTGGCTGGGTGTAATTTATCTATAATATGTATGTATTTAGAAATATATGAGTTTGTTTATCAGCGGTCTGGTAACCATAGCACAGGCTCTGCCTAATTTGGGATCAGGCGGCCGTGTATGAGATGTGTCAAGTTATTATTAAATGACTCACAAGAAGAACAATTAAAAGAAGCCACCATTTGCCTATCATCTTTTTAAGCTCATCTGTCCACCTTGTTGCTGGACGTCCACCGCTAGTTATATCATCATCAACAGCCTGTGGTAGTCCACTGCTGAACATATGCCTCTCCTTAGATCGTAGGCTTTGCACTACTATACAACGCTGGCCAGACGTAGTTTCAAATTATAATGTCTGTATCCTTCTATTCTTTATATATTATGCATGATGAAAATACAGAGAATCGTATTTTAATACATTTTAAGTAGACTTGCAACGAATATTCGGTTACTATTCGGTATTCGGCCTATTCGGCTGCTTTTATTATATTCGGCCGGATACCGAATATCTACATATTATTCGGCCGAATACCGAATACTTAAATAATATATTTTGTCATTGAGAAAAAAATGAAAAATTAAAATCGATTGATTACGTACATATTCATATTTTCATTTCTGTTATAATCATTTAAGTAGTCATTGGTGCATAACACAGGTACATAATCATCTTCTGAATAGGAAAAGTGGAGGATTCTATGTATTTGAATTATTGTGGGAATCAAAATTTAGAAGGGTAAGGTTCTCATTTCTTTTATAATCATTTATTAAGTAGTCATTGGTACATAAAACAGGTACATAATTTAATTCACGTCTGTACAAGTTTTTGGCGCTAAAATCCAGCCGAATACTTTTGCCTAATATTCGGCAATTCGGTCAGGGGCCTCGCCGAATATTCGGTATTCGGTATACTGCCGAATATACTATTCGTTGCAAGTCTAATTTTAAGTGATTTTATTACCAAAACTAGCCGGTAGAAGACATTAACACGACCTATTTTTGTTATTACAGATACAACGAATTGACTTTGTTGCATTTATACGAATCGGCATTTCAACAAATCCTGATTAAGCATGTTTTGTTTTAAATGGTGTCGGTAGCGGTAATAAAAAATCGGTTGTCTGTAAAGTCGGTTTACTGACGATAGTTGAACGTGACAACGTCATAAGAAAATACTGATGGAATGGTTGCATTTTACGAAAACATGTAAATGTATTATTGTATAGCAGCTGTCCACGCGGACGCATCGCTCACTCAAGTAGGAGAGAGACAGATGTCGAACGCTGCCGAACGCGGAGGCCGATTGTGCCTCTTTGTCACTCGTTCCGCGCTCTCGCTTGCACTTCACGCCTTAAATGGAACGCCTCAGAGCGAGGTAACGCCGCATGAGTCATGTTTTTTCGTGCGTGCAGCCGGCTCCATCGAATTATAAGACGGTGTCACGTCAAAAAAATATATTTCTACAATCAGTGCATACGTACGAGCAAATGTACTTGAATTTCAAATCATAAAATTTTACATTTCGTATGTTAGCTCCTATTTCAATGTATCTATTTATGTAATGGAATATTTTCTTTTTTGATTTTGGAATAAAATAATAAACAAATAACTAAAATGAAAAATGAAAATACGTGTTAACTTAATACAATCTCTTGGCGATTGATTACGATAAGATAGAAGATTTAATAAAACTACTAGCTTTTGCCCCCGGCTCTGCCCGCGTGTATGTCGGTTATCGCGGTAAAAAGTAGCCTATGTTACTCGCTGATAATGTAGCTTTCCACTGATGAAAGAATTTTTAAAATCGGATTAATGGTTTAGGCGTGAAAGCGTAACAAAGAAACAAACTCACTTTGACATTTGTAATTAAAGTATGGAAGTATGGATTCAGCATAGACATAGAATAGACAAAGTGAACGTTTTTCGAAATAAAAGCAGCAAATGATTGATGTGTGAATGATTTCGTGAAAAGGAATGGAAGTACGTAACAGGAAGCGCTCGCTATTTCACATGACCGATGAGCGCGCGCTATTTTACAAGACCAATGAGCGCGCGCTATTTTACAAGACCGATGAGCGCGCGCTATTTTACAAGACTGATGAGCCCGCGCTATTTTACAAGACAGATGAGCGCGCGCTATTTTACAAGACCGATGAGCGCGCGTTATTTTACAAGACCGATGAGCGCGCGTTATTTTACAAGACCGATGAGCGCGCGCTATTTTACTAAACCTATGAGCGCGCGCTATTTTACAAGACCAATGAGCGCGCGCTATTTTACAAGACCGATGAGCCCGCGCTATTTTACAAGACCGATGAGCGCGCGCTATTTTACAAGATTGATGAGCGTGAGATGTCACAATGCGATTACGCTAAGACTCTTTCGTATTTTGAATTCAGTGTATACTTCTACGTAACCTTAACTCCATCTAATTATATAGAGAGGCGTATTACGAAAACAATTACTTTCAGTTCAAGACAATTTCGTTGTGTAACTGTTATTAAATGTAACTGACTTTATTGCTCGAGTAAATGGTTTCTTGCGTTATGATTTATGACACTTCATCGACATCATCGTCATCGACAGCCTTTAATAGTCCACTGCTGGACATAGGCCTCTCCTTAGAAAGGAAGTTTTGGCCTACTATACCACGCTGGCCAGACGGGTTGGTATAGGGTTTGTGTCAAGTTTTCCTTCTTTTTACAGTGCCGGTGTCCTGCGTTGTTTTGCGCCCTTACTCGGCTCTTACGACACCCACGGGATGAATTGGGGTAGTGACATTTCGTATTCTTAATCCGTCACTACACGGACACTTCATTAGTATGATATTATTAAAGACGATTGGGTGAATGTTTATACATACATATATACACGTTTGTCTACATCAACCAAGAAAGGGAATCGACGGGCCTATTGGTCTTGTGATTCGTAAAACCAACTGCTAAGTCAGAGGTCGGGGTTCGATTCCCACCCAAGATTTTTTTTTGTGTAATGAGTACGATCATTTGTTCTGTGTCTGGGTGTAATTTATTTATAAAATGTATGTATTTAGAAACATATAATTATGTCGATCAGTTGTCTCGTTACTATAGTATAGGCTCTGTCTAGTTTAGGATCAGACGGCCGTGTGTAAGGTGTGTCAAATTCTTAAAAAATTTACCAATTTTAATTTTTGCGTCATTTACGTAATCCTTTGTTTGCCTTGATCTGGGTATTTAAATACTTTTATCCGTGTTTCAGAACTCAAAGATATGTAACAATCCCTATTTTTTTAAAGACAACTCCCACACTAGGAATAAATCCTGTGTCGTGGGGGGCCTTTACAAACATACGAGTACATGAAACGGACACAAAGAACACCCAGACTCAGAACAACAATTTGTGGATCACACAGTGTTGTCCCATGTGGCGAGGCGGCGCGGCGGCGCTTAAACCACTACGCCATCCGGTCATATTTAATTTACTGTTATAAGACTTAAATGTGATTTTTCAGAGTTGCCATAGAAACGGTTACCAGGAAATATATTAAAAGGCGTATCAAATGTCAAAGGAAAAGTATTTTGATGAACGTTAGATCGTCGAAGCTTAAAAACGATACGCTATGAGCCAGGATTATTAATATTTCGCTTTGCGTGTTATGCCTTCATATGCTCGTATATTAACTTAGAGTTAAAAAGGAAAGGTTTAATAAATATCTGACATAACAGAATTACGCTTTGTTATGGTAAATATGGTTTTCCGTGTGGTGAGGGATTAAGAATACAGACTGTCACCACCCCTATTCATCCCGTGGGTGTCGTAAGAGGCGACTAAGAAAGCAAACTACGCAGGACAACAGCACTGCAGAGAGAAGGAAAACTTGAAACAAAACCTATACCAACCCGTCTGGCCAGCGTGGTATAGTAGGCCCAAAACCTCCTTCCTAAGGAGAGGCCTATGTCCAGCAGTGGACTAGTAAAGGCTGTTGATGATGATGATGATGGTAAAGTGGACAAACGAGAAAACAGGGCACCAGGGCGTCAATTCTGCTATTTTATGTTAACATACAAGCCAGTGACATTCCATTGACACGCCTAAATAGAGAATATACCCTTGCGCTAGGAGGGGTCCGTATGTCCTAATAACATTTGTTCCCAGATGCCTCCTATTTCAAGCGCAGAGTAGCACACCGTGTGGTTTTAATCGACTCGATTCTGGCACACCGCTCCGCCGCAAACCCCGATGGGGTGACGCCCTAAGAGGGCAAGATATTGAAATATATCAGCGCTCTTACCTACGACCTAATAGGGTTTCCACGAGTTTAAAAAAGTGGTTAAAGCGTTCACCTACTGCGCTGAGTGTTGTGAGTTCGATTCCCACGTGGGAGAAGCCTTTTTGCCTTTTTAAGAACAGCCAAACTCAGAACAACAATTGGTGGCAATTGTTGTTCTGAGTCTGGATCTTCTTTGTGTCCCTCTCATGAATGTTTGTAAAGTCCTCCTCCACATACGATATATTCCTTGTGCCTTATTTAAAAAAAAAACGAATCACCTCCTTTTGAAATGCTGGCATATTTTGAGTTTTTCTTCTTTTTTATACCAGATGGGAACGCATGCTTATCTATGAAAGCTGACCCGCGCAACTTTATTTGTGTCAACATTGCGTGCAGCACTTTTGTAAGGCTCCTATTGGTCGATGTTATACAGCTTAAAACCTTCCTCGATAAATGGTCTATCCAACATCAAAAGAATTTTACTATTCGAATCAGTCATTCCTGAGATTAGCGCGTTCCATCGTACAAAGAAACTCTCCAGCTTTAAAAGAATATTAGTATAGTATAAAGTAAAAAATCAGTGGCATATGTGTACAAACACTGAATGTAACTTAATCGTGTTGTAATACACAGATTTTTTCATTTCCTTATCGCATTTAAACATTCTTCTTTACAGTTCATTAAATTCCACGGTCGTAAAATAGCGAAACCACTCACGAAAGTATGGTGAATTAGCCATGAAGATTATTGTAGCTATTTAATTATTTACTGTCGTTTCGATGTCCGGTGACGGTGACGGGTGAAGAATACGAAATGTGACCACTCCTATTTAACCCGTGGGTGTTGTAAGAGTCGTCTTTTATGACACGCACGGTCACAAACAATTGACGGGATCCTGCTGGATCTTTAAGAGTTACTCTTCCAACCTAATCCAAATTTGACTTTAAAGTGCTTCACATCACATCAACAGCCTATAACAGTCCATAGGACATAGGCCTCTCCTTAGAAAGGAGGTTTTGGCCAACTATACCACGCTGGGCAGACGTGTTGGTATAGGGTTTGTTTCAAGTTTTCCTCCTCTTCGCAGTGTTGTCTTGCGTAGTTTTCTCCCTCAGTCGACTTTTATGACACCCACGGGATGAATAGGGGTGGTGGCATTACATTGAAAGTGCTTACTCGTATTGTTTTCTTCCCAAAAGTATCATTTACTAACCGCATCTGGTAAAACCTAGCATGTAGTAGTTTCTAATGAAATAAAGTCCGCAAAATAGTTCCCCTTTTTATTAATACTTACATTCACTAACTCCTGTCGGTAAATCTTAAGATTTTTAACAGAAAATAGCAACCAAGCATAGTTACTAAATATTAAAATATAAATGCGCGGATGGGAGCGATACCGAAAAATGTAACAAGACTTTTTTCCGACAACATACCAAACGTCTACCTAAAACCGAAAGGAACTTCGTGCCGACCGGGGGTCCATAGACCCCACACGAAGTTTTAATAATCGTTAATGTATCGTAAATATTGTAATTATCAAATACCTATATAGTATCGTCGAGTCCAACCCTGGCAGGACTTTGTCTTACTGGCTTGATGTTACATGCCACACTTTTTTTTTGTTTTAGTGACGGGGTAGAAAATCCCTTCGGATCTCCAGCTCCTAGGGGACGCAGGAGCCAGGAGTATGTGGTGTTTGCACTAAAAACCACCCCGACAGCCGGCCTACTCTGGGGAGGACCCATACCATGTAATTTCAAGTCCCCAACATGGAACACCTAGGACTTGACAAAGACCCATTGTACCAAAAGGTAATATTGTAAACAGATTGGGGTTTTACTATCCAATACCAGTAATTTTACTTTCTATTGTTTATTTTAATAAGTTTTCTCCGTTTTTGAAACATCTTTCATTGATGCTCGGATCCTATTCCTTATAGCGTAGATGTTTTATAGCTTTTAGCCTTCCTGTATAATAATAATACAAGTATTCTTCTTTGTCTGAAACGGCCTTTTAAAATACTAGGGATCTTTCTAGTAAATTCGATAGCGCTATAAAACCGGAGTGTGTTGACCGTTCGACATAGTATCGTTTTACAACACAGCGAAATAACATCGAGGTGAATTTCTAGTGCGACTAACAAGTTATATAGTGATTTCTTGTTTGTTACAGTAAGTGTTTGTAAATACAGTGCAATAAAAGTAATTAACGGACAACTTTTATTTATTATATACCCCGCTCGTAACAGTACTATGGTAACCGGACTGCTGATAAACATACTTATATATTTCTAAATACATACATATTATAAAATAAAAAACAACCCACACAGACTAAACGATGGTGCTCATCACACAATTATCTGTCCTGGATGGGAATCGAACTCACGATCTCTGGCTTTCCAGTCAGGGTCTCTGACCACTAGACCAACAGTTCCATCGAGTCAAAGTATTAGTTCAAGAGATAATGATTACAAACAAACAAATCTTTTTGGAACGAAGTTCCTTATCGCGCGTTGTGAAAGGGGGCTAGACGGATAAAATTCGTACGAAAATTTGTCACGACACTTTTAATATAAATTGACGTCTAACTGTGGATACCATACATTAAATTTGCTTTGACGTTCGCCAACGTCCATACCATGTTGAGTACACTGGTTCTCGTCCGATCACCGAAGTTAAGCAACATCGGGCGTGGTTAGTACTTGGATGGGTGACCGCCTGGGAATACCACGTGATGTTGGCTTCTTGCTCTTTATTTTCGTGTCATCTTGTCAGACATTCAGCGCCATCTATCGAATAGATAGGAAATCATTTCGCAAGGATATTTTACCAATGTATAAATTGTTTTAATTGTTTTAGGAAAACTCAGCCATAATGTAAGGAACAAAGATGTTCATTTCGAGAACTCGAGAACCTATTGAAAAAAAACAATAAATTTTAAAAAAAGTGAGCAGTGTGAAGAGCCTAGCGAAACA